TCAGGAATTTCACTAATAAATGTTTGTATGTGTGAAGAACAATGAATTATCTAAACTAGTTAATAGCAGGGACGGATTATGAGTCCGTGGGCCCCTGGGCCAGACAACGAGAAAGGCCCCCCCCCCCAAAAAAACAAAAAAAAAACAACGCACGCATGCACGCACATAAATCAGCAGCGGTACAAAGGTTGTGCTAAAAACTATACTACATATATACTATACTCCATTTTACTCATGAAACATCACTTCACTCACACAGAATCTGATCTGAAACGTATATATAGCGTATATCAAACGAATAACTTTGTCAACCAAGAAATCGCTTATTTAGACTTAGACTTAGAAATCATGGAGGGGTCTGAAATTCACATTGTAGGTGCATTCCCACTGTGAGAGACAGCATAAAAAAAATTCAGGAAATCACATTGTATGATTTTTAAAGAATTTATTTGTATTGCACTGCTGCACATAAGTATTTGAACACCTGGCAATCAGCAATAATTCTGGCTCTCAAAGACCTGTTACTCTGCCTTTAAAAAGTCCACCTCTACTCCACTTAAGTCAGACGTCATACGTGTGTACTACCATGGGCAAGACCAAAGAGCTATCAAAAGACACCAGAGACAAAATTGTGGACCTCCGCAAGATCTCACCTCATGAGGTATCACTGATGATAAGAAAGGTGAGCAATCAGCCCAGAACTACACGGGAGGAGCTGGTCAATGACATGAAGAGAGCTGGGACCACAGTTTCAAAGGTCACTGTCAGTAGAACACTACGCCGTCTTGGTTTCAAATCATGCATTGCACGGAAGGTTCCCCTGCTCAAATCATCACATGTCCAGCCCCGTCTGAAGTTTGCCAATGACCATCTGGATGATCCAGAGGAGGCATGAGAGAAAGTCATGTGGTCAGATGAGTCCAAAATAGAACTTTTTAGTCTAAACTTCACTCGCCGTGTTTGGAGGATGCATCCCAAGAACACCATCCCTACTGTGATGCATGGGGGTGGAAACATCATGCTTTGGGGGTGCTTTTCTGCGAAGGGGACAGGACGACTGCACTGTATTAAGGAGAGGATGAATGGGGCCATGTATTGTGAGATTTTGAGCAACAACCTCCTTCCCTCACTCAGAGCATTGAAGATTGGTTGTGGCTGGGTCTTCCAACATGACAATGACCCGAAGCACACAGCTAGGATAACCAAGGAGTGGCACCGTAAGAAGCATATCAAGGTTCTGGAGTGGCCTAGCCAGTCTCCAGACCTAAATCCAATAGAAAATCTTTGGAAGGAGCTGAAACTCCATGTTGCTCAGCGACAGCCCCAAAACCTGACAGATCTAGAGGAGATCTGTGTGGAGGAGTGGGCCAAAATCCCTCCTGCAGTGTATGCAAACCTGGTCAAGAACTACAGGAAATGTTTGACCTCTGTAATTGCAAACAAAGGCTTCTGTACCAAATATTAACACTGATTTTCTCAGGTGTTCAAATACTTATGTGCAGAATGCAAAACAAATAAATTCTTTAAAAATCATTCAATGTGATTTCCTGAATTTTTTTTTTAATGCTGTCTCTCACAGTGGGAATGCACCTATAATGTGGATTTCAGACCCCTCCATGATTTCTAAGTGGGAGAACTTGCAAAATCACAGGGTGTTCAAATACTTATGTTCCTCACTGTAACCTAATTGAGGGGCCCTTTTCCAATACTAAGGATGAATAACATACACAACCTGTGGTTCAGGTGCTTGTCTTTAAGATTGAGAAACATCTTTAAATTCTTTAACGTTTAATATAACTGCTTATATTTCGGTATGTATCCCCTAGGGATGTCATGATACCAGAAATTTAGTAGAGTACCAGTAGAATTCCATGATTCTCAATATCCAATTCGATACCATGGTTAAAAAAAGATTGCTCCATGTATGTAACCATAAACTCCTTTATTAAAAACATTTGAACATTATAAAAATGGCATTTCTGTAAATAAACAGAACAGAAAACTGTACTATGATTTATGTGCTAGTATTGCAACAATT